TCTTGTTCAGCTTTTCAATATTCTGCTTTCAAGTAAGCTTTTCATTAAAAATCACTCCTAGGAATCACGTTAACGTGTTCAAGATTCTCACCATACTTTTTCAAGAATGATGTTTTTCTCCTTTTTAATGCTTTAAAGTTCATTCTTTCTGTAAGGGATGGTACAGAGTTTACTGTGTTTATTCTCTTAGGGTCTCATTTAGTTCTTAAGGGGAGTGGTGGCCTAGTGGTTAGGTTATTGCACCCTGAGTTCAAGCCCCACTGCCACTCTGGGTCCCTGAGCAAGACCTTTAACCCCACACTGCTCCCCGGGTGCCTCACCGTGGCAGCCCACTGCTCCCCAAGGGGAGGGGTTAAATGCAGAGGCTGAATTTCATTGCTTTGTACTTGTGACAGTAGAATGACAATAAAGTTAAATTCTATCTTCAGTTTCTCATCTGTTACAGTTTGGTCTCTATGGCCGTTTAAAAGGAGATGTTTCTGGCGCCCTCATGTGGCAGAAAATAAGTGTTACAATAAAGACGAGCACCTTTTGTAAGAAGAAAATGAAAATCTACAACTTAGTGCCAAACTCTTTATACTAATGATAAAATGCAGTCATTTCGATTGGTTTGAATTTTAATTAAAGAACTAATGGAATACAATAAAAAGGAAAATAGTTTTGTTTTTTGTTTTTTTAAGTAGGCATCGTCTCACCTAGAGGTATAATTTGTTAGGGTGTATAACAAATAAAGAAAATCTTTTAATAAAAAAAAAAACTAAATGAAGAATAAAATCTAATCAAGAACAAATTTTGTTTTCTAATCCTTTTATATGATTGTTTGAGATGGATTCTTAGGATTGTTTCTTAAAAGGAGAAATCAGCTTAATGCTTTCTAAAATATTCCTTTTACAACAAAATGTAATCATTAAATGCCAAAAAAAGCATAAAAAGCAAAACATTAAATGACGAGCTCAAAACAAAGGGTTTTAGAAAGCTGTGATGATCTTAACTGTTTTTCTATATTTAACATCGAATAGTATCATTCAAACTCTTCAATAAACTGTGGAAAGATTGTGTATTACTCTTTTCTTTCTACTTTGGCATAGAGGATATAATATCTAGAATAACAATATTTATGGCATCAGAGAAAGTCGTACTTATCTGTAAAATAGATATTAAACAACAATTTAAACCAAACAAGATCCTTAAACAGAGACCAGTTCATCCTAATCTGAGCAGAGTGTCTGCAGTTCAATGCAGCGAGGAATGCTCTGATCTTTACAGGTGCTGGTCATAAAATTAGAATATCATGAAAAAGTAGATTGATTTCAGTAATTCCATTTAAAAAGTGAAACTTGTATATTATATTCATACATTACATACAAACTCATATATTTCAGATGTTTATTTTGTTTAATTTTGATGATTACAAATGACAACAAATGAAAATCCCAAATTCATCATATCAGAAAATTAGAATATTACTGAAGACCAATAAAAACAAAGGATTTATAGAAATGTTGGCCAACTGAAAAGTATGAACATGAAAAGTATGAGCATGTACAGCACTCAGTATTTAGTTGGGCCTCCTTTGGCCTGTATTACTGCAGCAATGCGGCGTGGCATGGAGTCGATCAGTCTGTGGCACTGCTCAGGTGTTATGATAGCCCAGGTTGCTCTAATAGTGGCTTTTAGCTCTTCTGAATTGTTGGGTCTGGTGTATTGCATCTTCTTCTTCACAATACCCCATAGATTTTCTATGGGGTTAAGGTCAGGAGAGTTTGCTGGCCAATTAAGAACAGGGATACCATGGTCCTTCAACCAGGTACTGGTAGCTTTGGCACTGTGTGCAGGTGCCAAGTCCTGTTGGAAAATGAAATCTGCATCTCCAAAAAGTTGGTCAGCTGCAGGAAGCATGAAGTGCTCTAAAACTTCCTGGTATGTGGCTGCGTTGACCCTGGACCTCAGAAAACACAATGGACCAACACCAGCAGATGACATGGCACCCCAAACCATCACTGACTGTGGAAACTTTACACTGGACTTCAAGCAACGTGGATGAAGTGCCTCTCTTCTTTTCCTCCAGACTCTGGGACCTTGATTTCCAAAGGAAATGCAAAATTTACTTTCATCAGAGAACATGACTTTGGACCACTCACCAGCAGTCCAGTCCTGTTTCTCTTTAGCCCAGGCAAGACGCTTCTGACGCTGTCTGTGGTTCAAGAGTGGCTTGACACAAGGAATGCGACAGCAGAAACCCATGTCTTTCATACGTCTGTGTGTGGTGGTTCTTGAAGCACTCACTCCAGCTGCAGTCCACTCTTTGTGAATCTCCCCCACATTTTTGAATGGGTTTTGTTTCACAATCCTCTCCAGGGTGCGGTTATCTCTCTTGCTTGTACACTTTTTTCGACCACATCTTTTCCTTCCCTTCGCCTCTCTATTAATGTGCTTGGACACTGAGCTCTGTGAACAGCCAGCCTCTTTAGCGATGACCTTTTGTGTCTTGCCCTCCTTGTGCAAGGTGTCGATGGTCGTCTTTTGGACAACTGTCAAGTCAGCAGTCTTCCCCATGATTGTGTAGCCTATAGAACTAGACTGAAAGACCATTTAAAGGCTTTTGCAGGTGGTTTGAGTTAATTAGCTGATTAGAGTGTGGCACCAGGGGCCATCAATTTTGAACCTTTTCACAATATTCTAATTTTCAGATATGATGAATTTGAGATTTTCATTTGTTGTCGTTTGTAATCATCAAAATTAAACAAAATAAACATCTGAAATATATGAGTTTGTATGTAATGTATGAATATAATATACAAGTTTCACTTTTTAAATGGAATTACTGAAATCAATCTACTTTTTCATGATATTCTAATTTTATGACCAGCACCTGTATATTGGAGAAACCAAACAACCTCTCCACAGGCGCATGGACCAACACAGAAGAGCGCCCTCCTCTGGACAAGACTCTGCACTACATCTACACCTGATGGACAAAGGACATTCTTTGAAGGAGCAGAATGTTCACATTTTGGACAAAGAAGACAGGTGGTTTGAGAGGAAGGAAGCCATCTATGTTAAGAGAGAAAAAACAATCTTAAACAGAAGGGGGGGGGGAACTCAGATTTCAGCTTTCAAAAACCTCCAATGCAGCGATAGAGTTGATTCCTTCCCGCTATCCTTGCAGCTCCAACCCCTTTACAGGAGAACAGAAGACCTCTCCTATTCATCCAGGCCAACAATTCCCTCTAACGACCCCCCTTTCAGAGACATAGACAGGTATGGGGCATTGCAGGCTAACAAAGAAGCCAAACGACCCCCATTCCAAAGGGGGGGACCCGTTCATCCGTTTCTATTTGCATGTTTTCTAAACTAAAACCAGGCTTTGTTGGGCTGCTGGATAAAACCTGGAACTAAACGCTATTTCTGACATTTTGGATTGAAAAATCTTCCTGGGTGGAAGAGAAACGTCTTCAGAGTTGGAAACAAAGTCCAGTGGATTGATTTTAACTTTTTGGGGAATTTGAATGATGCAAGAAGTTCTCAGAGTTCTGTTAATGATCATATTATTTGATTCTGGTGCGTTTAAGTAGAGACAAATATGACAGTTGCAGGACACTGGACCTCATTGAAAGTCTGACTGACCTGAACTACAAAGCTGTCTCTACACTATTGTTAAACAGTGGAGTTCATGTTTAAACTGGATTTAAAACTTACATTTGAAAAGATCAGTGCCTGTTAGTAAAAGTAAGTTTGATGTTGTAGCAATCTGCTAACTTCAGATTAAATAAAACACGGCATGTTTTGTTGAATTTAACACTTTCAAAGGTGTAATCAGTCGTCTTTCTTGCACTTAAAGGAAAAGTCGCTCATATTCAGAATTCAAACTTCTGAAAGTTCTTTAAATCTGAAATGATTCCATCCTGTTTAATAAATGATCAGTGTTTTTAATTCAGAGTAATTTTCATGTGAATGTGCTTTACTGGAGGCATCCATGTTTGTCAAAGAACACTACTGCCACCTACTGGTTAGTGACGTCACGGTGCGGTATCGGCTGTTGATCAAGTCCCAGTGCTGTATCTGGTGTTTGTCACAACGCGCTATTATCCAAGTCATCTTGAAAACATTCTTCTTCCAAATGTTGGCTACATATTACGGTTTTTTCTCTGGCCAGAAGTTCGATGGCAAATCCTCCCTCTTCAAGTTGGCGATCCAACGACCAACCCGTCCGTGGAGGATCAGGAATCAGAAAGGTGAAATAACTCTTTGTTTTCACTTTTCCCCGATGTATTCCAGCATCCAGCTGCCATGCACGTGGGCATTGTCAGTTTCACTATAGCTCTGGTGAATTTCAATGGTGAAGTCCTCTGGAAATCTTCAATAATTGTTGTTGATTGCAGATGTGTCTAGTAGTTCCCATTGATTTAGCTTGTAAAGCGGGAAGAATGGCGCTAGGCTTACCGCACCGTGACGTCACTGCTGGAAGATGGCAGGAGGGAGGGGCTACTATATTTGGGCAAAAATGGCCGCTCCCAGACTCAGTGATCGTGACAAATATTAGTTTTAGGTATAAATAATGATCCATTGATTATTCCTCGCTGATAAAATTTTTCCTTTAATGATATTTCTCTTAACAGATCATCCCAAAATTATAAGTCCCAATGTAACCTTTGACAGAAGGTCAAAGCAAAATATGCATGATCAACAGTAGTGTTCATTAAAATAACATTATTCATGTATTAAATATAAAAAGAGTTGGTTGATCTTTGTGAAACACTGCGGTTCATTCAGAAATTACTTTTTATTATTACTTTAAGTAGTTTATAGTGTATTTATCCCTTTGTTTATTTGTACTTTTACTTAAGTACACTTTCTGAGTACTTTTTTCCACCACCCTCTACTGTAACTGTCCTATTATTCCATAAAATCGATGTATGGGCAGAGAAATTTCAAATTTTAATCAAATGAATTAAAACAGTGTAAACAAGAAAAAAAATAAAAAACACAGGGGAGCAAAATTCTTTTTTCTTCAAAATCACTTTTATTCCATAATGTATTTCATCAGGCCTTAAGGCACCCTGAAAAGAGATGTTACAGGTTATTCCTTTAAATACGGGTTCCTTTTAAGATTTTGTAAACATAGCTTTGAATAAGGTTAGATAATCTTCTGCAAATCTTTGCTTAAATTATATTTCTTTACAGTGCACAGACATTGTGTTTTGTGAACAAAATACAGCGTGATTTGGGTAAATATGGGAAATATTGTGTGGTGTGTGTTTGCATGTATATATTTATATATATATATATGTACATTAAAGAGTAATAGATCAGCAGACAATCAGATACACAGGCTGAAGAAGAGAGTAAACTAACGAACAATCTTTGAGACCCGGATAGATATAGAGATCACGTAAAGGTATACAGTACATAGTTGCAGTTATTTTTCGATACGCTTCCTCTCCGCCTCAAACAGCAAAGCGTCGCTGTTCCCACCATCCATACACAACCGCCACGCCTCAGGAAAAGCCAGGCTCACCCACACGTCGGCTAGTGGCAGTGGAGACGTGGACAAACAGGAAGACAGGCAGCCAGACGGACGGACAAAAACACACATGCAGACGGACAAACAGCCAGACACACGGCACAAGACTGGGCTACGGCTATGCGCGCCACAGCACTATCTATAATTCCCTAAATATGCATCTATGTATTTATAGTTCAAAGGGAGTACATCAGCTATACTTGGTTATCAAGGTATGTCTCGATGAAGTCTTTTTGAGATGAGAGATACGCTGGAAGTGTTCTACTTTTTCAGCTCTACGATATAGTAAGATCTAAAATCCGGGAAAAACCAGAAAGTAAGAGGGTCCCTCATACAGACTCGGGGGTGGAAACCACACACTCAACCTGGCAACCAGGAAGGTTACAAATGAAAGGTCAGCAATTACACAACAGCTCCAAACAGCTTGGTTCCAATGGCTATAGGTTATTAAATCACATCAGCAATAAAGAAATAAAAAGATCTAAACTAAGTAGAGGATAAAACGGGGCGGGTCTAGAAACTTTTTGTTCAGGGTAGAGATCAGCAAAAAAAACAAAAACAAAGCAACATGTGATACCAAGCAGCTTCTCATGGTAGAACCCAAACCTTTATCTGATTTAAACATTTATTTTTTGTTGTTGTTGCTGCTAATTGGTCGGAGCCGCCTCTTGTTACTCTACGACTTTGATCCGGAAGGTGACGCGGCCCAGGAACTTGTCCCTTTCGTCGTTGTTGCGAAGGTCGGAGCCCTCCACCCTGCACTCCACAGACAGCTCCTTGTTGTAGTCCTCCTTGGTGAGCAGCAGCTTCACGGCCACCAGGGGCTGCAAATATTTCTCCTGCATTGAGAAAGAAAGGTTGTTTCATCAGAGCAGCTGGAGGTTTTACTACCATGACAGTAGCATGTTTCACCCCTGCTGCCTTATCTAAATACAGTCAAACGCCAGCTGAATGGCAGCCCGCCGTCTTCCGACTCCCAGTGAAATCCCCTCCAACTTCCAGCCACAGGGATGACCCCCTCTGACCAGCAGATGGCGCTTCTCTTTGGATCTTAATGTCCACAAATCACGACAGAAAGAATATTTTAGTACAAAGATTGATGTTTAAAAAGAAGATGTAGGGGACCATCCAAGGACCAGCCAAGGACCATCCAAGGACCAGCCAAGGACCAGCCAATGACCAGCCAAGGACCAGCCAAGGACCATCCAAGGACCATCCAAGGACCAGCCAAGGACCAGCCAATGACCAGCCAATGACCAGCCAAGGACCAGCCAATGACCAGCCAATGACCAGCCAAGGACCAGCCAAGGACCAGCCAATGACCAGCCAATGACCAGCCAAGGACCAGCCAAGGACCATCCAAGGACCATCCAAGGACCAGCCAAGGACCCACCAAGGACCAGCCAAGAACCATCCAAGGACCAGCCAAGGGCCAGCCAAGGACCAACCAAGGACCAACCAAGGACCAGCCAAGGACCAGCCAAGGGCCAGCCAAGGACCAGCCAATGACCAGCCAAGGACCAGCCAAGGACCATCCAAGGACCATCCAAGGACCAGCCAAGGACCATCCAAGGACCAGCCAAGGACCAGCCAATGACCAGCCAAGGACCAGCCAAGGACCATCCAAGGACCATCCAAGGACCAGCCAAGGACCAGCCAATGACCAGCCAATGACCAGCCAAGGACCAGCCAATGACCAGCCAATGACCAGCCAAGGACCAGCCAAGGACCATCCAAGGACCCACCAAGGACCAGCCAAGAACCATCCAAGGACCAGCCAAGGGCCAGCCAAGGACCAACCAAGGACCAACCAAGGACCAGCCAAGGACCAGCCAAGGGCCAGCCAAGGACCAGCCAATGACCAGCCAAGGACCAGCCAAGGACCATCCAAGGACCATCCAAGGACCAGCCAAGGACCATCCAAGGACCAGCCAAGGACCAGCCAATGACCAGCCAAGGACCAGCCAAGGACCATCCAAGGACCATCCAAGGACCAGCCAAGGACCAGCCAATGACCAGCCAATGACCAGCCAAGGACCAGCCAAGGACCATCCAAGGACCATCCAAGGACCAGCCAAGGACCCACCAAGGACCAGCCAAGAACCATCCAAGGACCAGCCAAGGGCCAGCCAAGGACCAACCAAGGACCAACCAAGGACCAGCCAAGGACCAGCCAAGGGCCAGCCAAGGACCATCCAAGGGCCAGCCAAGGACCAGCCAAGGACCAGCCAAGGACCATCCAAGGACCAGCCAAGGACCAGCCAATGACCAGCCAAGGACCAGCCAAGGACCAGCCAAGGACCATCCAAGGACCAGCCAAGGACCATCCAAGGGCCAGCCAAGGACCAGCCAAGGACCAGCCAAGGACCATCCAAGGACCAGCCAAGGACCACCAAAGGGCCCATCAAGGAAAGTAGGGAAATTTTGAATGGCTACAACTGTAACACCCCAGCACATCCGATGCTGCATCATACTTAACCTGATCTCTGCTAAAGATTTGGTTACACACTGACAATACAGATAAAACCAGATGTTTACATACCATAAAATTAAGGAAAATATGCATTTATGCTTCATTACAATGTAACTACATATTTAGTTGTGGTAAGAAGGAAATTGGCAAAAACACCAGAGGTGCCAAACACCAACTCCTGGTAGATAGAACAGTCGCTCAAGACTGCAGAACCCAAAACACTAACCTAAGCATTGCCTGGATTGATTACAAGAAAGCCTACGACTCAATGCACACACTTGGATCATTGAATGCTTGGAGCTATACAACATCAACAGAACTCTAAGAGCCTTCATTGCAAACTCAATGAGGTTGTGGAAAACCACCCTTGAGGCCAATGGCAAGATACTTAGACTCCATCAAATGTGGCATATGCCAAGGAGATGTGCTGTCCCACTACTGTTCTGCATTGGTCTGAACCCCCTCAGCTAAATAATCAACAAGAGTGTAAAGACATCAAGCTGTATGCTAAGAATGAGTGAGACATTGACTCACTGATCCATACCACCCGGATCTTCAGCACAGACATCGGGATGTCATTTGGACTACTGAAGTGTGGTCGGATGGTAACTAAGAGAGGGAAGGTAGTCCACACAGAGGGGGTATCACTCCCAGAAGGAACAATAGCGGACATTAAGGACAGCTACAAGAACCTTGGAATACCACAAGCAAATGGCCACCTTGAAGAGGTAACAAGGAAAGCGGCTACGGCCAAATAACTCCAAAGAGTAAGGCATGTCCTAAGGAGCCAGCTCAATGGCAAGAATAAGTCTCTGGCAATAAATAGCTACGCTCTACCAGTAATCAGAAACCCTGCAGGAATAATAAGCTGGCCAAAGGAGGAGGTACAGGCCACAGATGTTAAGACACAAAACCTCCTAATCATGCACGGAGGGTACCACCCCAAATCCAGCACCCTGAGATGTACAACAGCCGTAAGGAAGGAGGCAGAGGACTAATGAGCATAAGAGCCACTATCCAGGATGAAACCTCCAAGATAAGTACATCAAGGACAAGGCTCCAACAGACGACATCCTCAATGAATGTCTCAGACAATGGGGAACAGAGGATGAGGTGCCAGAGACTCCGTCATGGGAGGATGAGCCCCTACAAGGGATGTAGGGAGGTTTTAGGGGATTGGGTGAACAGAAGACCTCGCCTATTCAGCCAGGCCAACAATTCCCTCTAACGACCCCCCTTTCAGAGACATAGACTTGTCTATGTCTCTGAAAGGGGGGTACAGACTTGGGGCGACAGTTGGATGTAGGAGTTTGCCCTGAAATCGAAATATTGACGGTTCCAGACCCGACTCTGACTTTCATTGTCGTTGTGTCCTTGGGCAAGACACTTCACCTGCATTGTCTACTGATGGTGCTGGTGATGGCGCCAGTGTACGGCAGCCCCGCTTCTGTCAGTGAGCCCCAGGGCAGCTGTGGCTACAGTGTAGCTTGCCACCATCAGTGTGTGAGTGTGTGGGTGAACGAATGTAGTGTAAAGCGCTTTGGTCAAGTCTCCTGACTTGAATAAAGGCGCTATATAAGTACATGCCATTTACCATTTACCATAGACAGGTATGGGGCATTGCAGGCTAACAAAGAAGCTAAACGACCCCCATTCCAAAGGGGGGGACCCGTTCATCCGTTTCTATTTGCATGTTTTCTAAACTAAAACCAGGCTTTGTTGGGCTGCTGGATAAAACCTGGAACTAAACGCTATATCTGACATTTTGAATTGAAAAAGCTTCCTGGATGGAAGAGAAACATCCTCAGACTTGGAAACAAATTCAATTTAATTCAATTCAGTTTATTTCTATAGCGCCAATTCACACCACATGTCACCTCAAGGCACTTTACAGTTCAACCGGATCATCCAGTCAAATTGATTGAAAGTTTTCTATCTATTCCAGTGGATTTTTTTTGAATTTTTTTACTTTTTTTGGAATGGCTATGACCTGGATGGCTGAGAATCTTCACCAGTACATGACAAGAGAAAAAACTGTGGGCCAGAAGGCCGATACTCACATGGGCTTTCTTGCCATAATAGGGGAAATACATCTTGTCAAAGCGCGCCTCTTGGGGGAAATAATGCATTTGAACCGGGTTTTCTTTCTGCAAGGAAGGAAACACGTATGTGTCAATATCACATTGGAAAATAGCAGTTGTTTAGTAGATAAAAGCAAATGGGATATGTTTAACAGACAGCATGAAATATGACATGAGAAAGTAGAAGCAATTTCCCTCTCAGGTTAAAAAAAGATTTAAATGAATCGAGTAACTAGATGAGCTGTGTTGAACCTCCAAATGTGACATTCTAGGGGTAAAAAGAAAATGACACTGATTAGGCTAAAAATAAACCGTAAATGTCACTAAGATGGGTTTAAGCAGCGCCCACATAATGACCTGTTACATAACAGAAATGCGTTCTTATTCCTACCGGCCTTATCCTGATAATTCACATATTCGTTCTTACCCTAAAGACGTCAGTGACAGCATGCAAGAAGACATGAGACACAAAAAAAATCAAAAGGAAGATTAACAAAAGTGGAAAAATATGAACGTAAGACTAACAAAAGGAAATATTAATCCCACAGTGGTTTCAGATGTTTGTTTAATTTGTTTTGTAATGAACAAACTCAAAAGACAAAAATACACATAGAAGAAAGTAGTTCTTATGTGAAGTTGTTATTTGTGTTTTACTTTAACGGTGCAGTTGATGTAGGGATCCCCGTGTGGCTTCAGGCCAATGATCTGTGAAGGAAGACAGACAAGTGGACGGGTCACTGCCTGGATGCTGCACTGCAACAACATCTAATCAAATCATTTGGGAGCAGTATGAAGACCTCCAGCGGCTCACTAAAGTATTCATACCAATTACGCTCTTTGACTTTTGTCATGTTAAATATACCAGCTAAAATGCAGCTTCTTCTGGGGGAATTCTTTGAGATAGACCAGCAAGCGTTTAAATCAGGGGTCTTCAGTGTTTTCCAGGCCAAGGACCCCAAACTGATGGCGACGGAGCGGGGACCCTTAATTATATATATTGTATGAAATAGTGTTCTATCAAACTGGTCCTATAGTCACTCTAATACAGATGAAGTAATGTAACTAAAGTAATCCCTCCCTGGGATTATTAAAGTATTTCTGATTCCTGGTTGATGGGACAGGTGTTGTGAATGAAACGGTGCCCAGCTTGAAAGAGCTCCTGTGTGTCCCTAAATGTGTGCATTGATCATGATCTAGACAGGGGCCAACGGGGGCCAGGGCCCCTGTAGATCATGCCCTGGCCCCTGTACCAAAAACATAATACTCAAATAAATTCTAATGATGATCTGCGCTGGAACAGACATGGTTACTGAGAGCTCCTTTGGATCTATTTCATTTTTTTCTTTAAAAAAATCTGTTTTACTAATTATTTAAACACAATAAATTGATAGCTTCAGTGATATCGAGATAGGATCCCAGTTTTCATCTACTAAATGCTTTTTTCAAAACAAATTGCTCTAATTTTTACGGCTGAATTTATCAGTTTTTCTTGAGTAGAAGGTAATTTTAGATAAAAGTGAAAAATATGGAAAATTCCTAAATTCTGAATGTATATTTGTCAGATTTCTGTTTCTGTTATAGTATTCAGTCTTGCTTTACTCCTTGGTTTCTAGTGTTAGTGGTTTTATTTTTATTTTGCTGTGTTCTTTGGTTTTTTCCAGTTACTGTTCTAGTCTGGGTTCTGTTTAGTTTTCCTTTCTCCATGTTTTATAGTCCTAGTAATATAACATTGTGTTGTTATTTCCAGTCTTCCAGGTTTCTATTTGTTGCTCTCTGCTGCCCTCTTGTGTTCTCCTTCTTCCCTAGCCCCTTCCTTCTTGTTCTGTGCACACCTGCTCCCAGTTTCCTCATTAGCCCCCTCTTTGTCTCTGTCTCCTTTAAAAGCCCTCTCTCTTCAGTTCCTCTTTGCTGGGTCCTCGTCAAACACTGCCAAACTTTGTCAAACTTCCTCCAACTCCGTCTTCTAACCCTATCCTCGTTCCCCTGATATCTCCACGGTTTCTGGTTCGTTTTGACTAGTTTTTATGTTTGATTCTTTTGGATTTTTGGACTCCTGATTTCATGCTTGTGTGGACTTCCTTTTCATTATTGGATTTTTGGATAACCTGCCTTTGTTTTCAGTTTCCCTTTTTAATTAAATTTAATGAAATTCACCTCTGCCCTCCTGCCTCTGCTTTTGGGTCAACACTCCGTAACCAAATCCTGACAATATTGACCTAAGATGACCTAGAATTTTAATTAAACCAAATTGAATAGAAATTTCACTTCATGGAGCTCTATTAATATATTTGAATCCCTGTTTTTTATTTCATGCTTTTCGGGCCCCCATGAAAACACGCTGGTCCCCTCCTGGCCCCTCATTGCCCCCTGGTACATTTGGTCTAGAACCACCACTGGCATTGATGACTGAAAGACATCTTCTGCCTCCATTTATCTGTTTACTACAGTCTGTTGAATTCATGTTAATGTGGATTTAAAGACATTTTAATTAGTGGAAAAAATTGCAGGGCCAATACAAAAAAAAAAGTGTAATCAACCGAAACTTTGGCGACCCCCATGCAGTACCTCCGTGGAACCCTTAGGGGTCGCGGAGCCCCTGTTGTAGACCTCCGATTCGATGAAGTAAATGACATATGCGTTTCAAAAGGTTTTACTATTAAACAATAAAAAAAAAGAAAATCTACACAGTTCTGCTGAGTAAATAAAGAACAACGGCTCTATTTTAGGTGCATCCTTTGGGAAACGTATCTCTCTGCTTCAAAAACTATTTGGTCTTATTTGATTGGAAAAATATCACAAACTCACTCAGAATGGATTTACAGACCAGAGATTCACAGTCATACCAACATATATTTTTCTTTTAAATACAAACATAAAGTCAGATTACTACAAAAAAAAATGTCATAATAATAGTATTTAAGAATAGAATTCTTAGTATGTCTAATTAAAGTGGTAATATTACCACAAAATCATATGATTACAAAGATAAGAGAAAATTTAGGTCTAAACATTACTAGATTACAGTCTTGACTTAATCAGAGTTAAGCCTCAAAAATGGCTTTTTCTATGTCTGCTTCTGTCTCCTTGAACCCCAGTGGGCCTCAGCAGATGGCCGCTCACACTGAGCCTGGTTCTGCTGGAGGTTTCTTCCTGTTCAAAGGGAGTTTTTCCTCTCCACTGTCGCTACAAGCATGCTTAGTGTGAGGGATTGCTGAAGAGTCAATGAGTCAATGCAATCAGCTGGTTTTCCTTAGATAGAAAACTTTGAATCAATCTGACTGGATGATCTGGTGAACTGGAAAGTGACCTGAGATGATATGATGTGAATTGGAGCTATAGAAATACACTGAATAGAATTGAAAATTATGAGAATAAAGTCGTAACATTGAGAAAATAAACTTGTAAGATTACAGAATAAAACGTTTAAATTAAGAGATTACAATCATAACTTTACAAAACATGAGTTGCAACTTAATATATACTTTATATATAATATAACAGGATTAAAGTCCTACAATGACCAGATTAAAAGCGTAACATTCCAGAATGAAACCATAACATTACGAGAATAAAGAAGCTCATCAAGAGAATGCCGAGAGTGAGCGAAGCAGTAATCAAAGCAAACGGAGGCTACTTTGAAGAACCTAGAATATCAGACAGATTTTCAGCTGTTTCACACTTTTATATTAACTTTATAATTCCACATGTTAATTCATAGTTTTGATGCCTTCAGTGTTAATCTTCAATTTTCATAGTCATGAAAATAAAGAAAACTCTTTGAACAAGAAGGCATGTCCAAAGTTTTGGTCTGTACGGTATATATATATATATATATATATATATATATATATATATATATATATTAGGGCTGCAACTAACGCCTATATAAAAAATCGATGAATCGGCCGATAATTTTTTCGATTAATCGATGAATCGGACAAAAAATATTTTTTATATTAACCTCTTTATTCCAAAATAAACATTTTAGACAGAACAAACAAGCACACAGGTACAGGTTGCTCATTAACTGTACTGGTGCAATATGAAAAACAAATGTTTGTGTTAAAACTACGCAAACTTACATGAGAAATGTAGCTGTACATCCACAAAATATAGGCTACTTTGTTTCATAAAGCGCAAAAAAAGACATTTTTGTTTTTAAAAGCACCTAAGGGGTTCAAACAATAGGCCCCCCCATTTCAACAAATGAGTTTTTTTAGACTAGAAGAGTTCTGCCTTTTAAGACAGGAAAGTATAGCAGTTAAAGTTGCTGCTTGAGAAAATACTGAACCATAGAGATAAAAATAGCCCTGTGATTCAAATTATAAATTGTATTTGGAATAAAAATGAGAGAACTAGGGGTGCTAAAAAACACATCCTCCAAAGACAGATATTTACATGGAAATGTGGCAGATAATTAATTGACATATTACTGATCTTGCTGGATTTTATTCTGCTTTACTTCCATAAATTGCAGGATCTTCTTTACTTTATCTTTGCCAGAAGATTTAAACTTTAAAAGCCTTGCCCTCATTATTTGCAAGTTAATTTATTTATAAAGAAAATATAAACGCTGCTTAAGCTAATTCAAATGAAATAAAAAGTAAAATAAGTAGCCAACCTTATCACTGTCTGTAACCTACTAACACGGTAAGGAAAGCATCGGATGAGCTACCTGAGAAACTAACGTTACGTTTCCCCACTTTAAAATGAAACAAACATGGCCGCTCACCCTGCTGATCAGCTCTCTTCACTGCCATCGAGGCTCCAACCTGTTTCCTTTTCAGGTGCTGCGTCATAACAGTGGTGCTTCCGCGCCATGTTCATTTGTTTTTACAAAAGTTGCATGTTAAGACTTTTTTCGCTTTACAAAGCGCAGGCTGTCTGCGAATTGAGACGCAGCTTGCGTTTGCGGTATCGGTCATTAGAACAGTTGACGTTTCTGCCTTTTGAAAACAGCCTTTGCTCACCTGCGGCGCATGTTCTCGCTCTGCCGTATTTTTTTTTTCTTCCCCTGTTTCAGTCAAGTGGATGTGATGACGACGACGGCGGATGATACATTAATCGCGCGACACAACTAATCGATGATTAAATTCGTTGCCAACGCTTTTAAAAGCCGATTTTTATCGATTTTATCGATTCGTTGTTGCAGCCCTAATATATATTATATATATATATATCTATATATATATTTATAGTGGTATTGCTGTATATATTACTGCCCTGTATATAGATCCATTCCTGGAATCGTCCCACAGCATGCTGCTACCACCACCGTATTGCAAGATGGGAGGTTTTATTTATCTTAGTTTTTTTCTCCAAAGCATTTTGTACAAAATGTTCCGTTCTTGATGCACCAACACTGTAATTTGTCATTCTATGATAGTTTTACCCGATAAAATACATGAAATTAGTTTTTATACTCTAAGAAAACCCAAAAAGTTCACAGGAAATGAATACTTTTTAAAGGAAAAAGACGGAGGAAATAACTTTTTAGAAAGCATAACTTTTAGACAGAGGGAGGGGGGGTGTTACCCTGTTCATTTTCAGCAGCACACAGGGTTTTCCTTCATGGTACCCGAAGTTAGTGTCAGAGAGGCCAGAGCAGAAGCTTAGGGTGGACCTTTTGAAGGGACATGCTTTCCTTGGGGCGCCCTCCTCCCCCACCTCCTCGGTGTACACTCCTGGACTGCAGCCTTCCACTGCCAGCTGCTCCGTATCATTGTATCCTGACAGACATGACATGCACAAAGGTGCATTAAGACTTCTGGCAAAAGTCCATAGAAACTAGAGATCCAGGACAGGCAGAGAGGAAGTTGTTACAGTATCAGCCATTCAAAATGGCGCTTCCCAGTCAAACGCCAGCAGAATGGCAGCCCACTTCCCTGCAACTCCCAGCGAAATCCCCTCCAACTTCCAGCAGCTGGAGTGACCCCCCCTCTTGCATATTTTTTTTACTCTGACTGCACCCTTTCACTGATTTACAGGATCTGGCCAGGAGACGCTGCTTCTCTTTAGATCTTAATGTCCACAAATCAGGACAGACAGAATATTCTAGTCGAAGACTGATGTTTAAAAAGGAATGGAAGGGGACCAGCCCAGTACCCATCAGGGAAAGTGGGGACATTTTGAATGGCTGCTACTGTAATCTGCAGGTCATTGTGTGCATAATATGTTGGAGTGGACTCACTTTGGAGGAAGGTTTCCAAGCTTCGGACATAATCTGCATACTTCAGCGGATCAGATTTATTGAATGATATATCCAAGGAGTTTGGGCGGATCACCAATCCTGCAGCAAAACAAACATGAGGCGAGTAAACAGACTGAAAGAGAACTTCCATCCAACCATCACTATTATCAGGGAAAGTTTTCCAAACGGATCAATGTAAAAAGCAGCTGTAAAGTAGAACATTAGTGTTGCATTATCCGAGTTGGAGGAGAATGAATAATAAATGTCTGAGAGGTGCTGCCCTATAGACGATGGTGCCGTTCCTCAGGTGGGTTGGGACACTGACCTGGATTGGGGAGGCGGTCCCTGTACCTCGGCACATGTTCATCCAGAGTGAGCAGCATCACCCACATGGTCAGGGCGAACATGCCGGCCAGGAAACAGTAGAAGACCAGGTAGAAGAGCAGGATGAGGGCTGCAGCAAACACACAGAGCAGGATGAGAATCGGTGGGACGCAGTTTGAACTCTCACTCTGAGGAAACCATTTTGAAACCCCCCCGCCAACCTGATAACACAGGTTTTACCATAGCACCCCCCCCCCCCCACAGAGTGTTCAGATCAGTTCTTACTGCTCTAATCATCTAAGAGCTGCAGGGAGGAAACGTCCGATTCACCAGCATCCTGTCCGAAACTCTGGAGCAACCCAGAAAATAATAAAATCACGCCCCCACCCCACACCCTATCCCCCCCTACATCGTTCTCCTCATTCCTCCCCAGCAGTATCCCACAATGCACCTGTCCAGTGTGAAAAACACAGAGCGAGGGGAATCCCATTTGACCTTGACAGGCATGCTAATGTGGGCGGCCATGCAACTGCAATGGAGCATCCCACTGCACAGCAGCAGGGGGCCCAGGCAGCCTGAAGAGCCCCGCTGCAGCCTATAGGAGCTGGCTGAGGGGGGGTCAGGGGGGGGGGGGGGGGGGCATGTTACCAGCTCAAATCTGGGGAGAAATGTTACATAAAATAAAAATCTTCATCATGATCAGGCAGCTGAGGAATGCAGCTGATAATTGGGAGGGGGGGGGTTGCTCTGCAGATACACTTCTATAAACTATAGATCTTTTCTTTTAGATAAAAAAACTAATCTTCTGTGTCTGGTTCTGCAACAGACTGCATCAGGTGAACCTGCTGATCCTCCTGCACAGCTTCCTGTGGGCTGCAGCTGATCCAGCATCAGCCACTCATGCAAAGACATGATGGTTAAAGGAGATCAGAGGAGATCAGAGGAGGAGGGCAGCAGATCTGGATGCTGGGTGGGGGGGGGGCATCTTTTACTCACCCCAGCTGCTGGCCGTCCGACCCAGCAGCTCCCCGGTCCTCGGGTTGTAGAAGGAGTCCTTCCAGCTGGACGCCTTCTCCTTGCTGGCCTCTTTATCCTCGGTGCTGGCCATGGTTTAACGGAGGGAGCTCAGGGATGGGGAGGCAAGGGGGACGTTATTTTGGTCCCTACAAAAAATGCACCGGTGCCCCCACCCTGGAAGAAAATAAAAGAGAAAAGAAAAAAAAAAGAAAAGACGAAAAATGCAGATAAGCGCAGAGGAGCAATGCGATGAGGCGGCGGTGCGGAGAGCGCTCCGGGATCAATGGAAGGAGAGGGAGGAGAAGGAGGAGAGAGGGGGGGGCAGTGACGTCCGCGTGGCAGCTGATGCAGTGCGACCAGAGAGATGCGCATTGGCTGATCAAAATTAGACGCACGCGCCCACAACTTCTGAACAGAGCGCTCACCTGAATGCCTGCTCCGCAGACTGACGCCTTTATACTTCAGCAGATTATTAATATAAAGGCTTTTATTTTAAATGTGGCCTCGCGGTTTGCTGTAGAGGAATCAATCAGAGTGCTGAGTCACCAGGATTCACCCTAAGAAATCAGGACGCAGCAATGATCCCTGGAAAGATTCACTAAATTCACTAGCAGAGGGAAGCAGGGGCGGATTTAGGAAATTTGGGGCCCTAGGCAAAGACAGGCAGGGGGCCCTCTGAATGGAGAAGACAATACATGAAACAGACCCATTCTACAGATAGAGAAATGTTAATAGAATAGACGTATAGGGACTACGGATGAAAACTAGCTTTGTAGCTATAATCTGGCATATTTACATTTGTTTTTTATACTGATGTTCATTAATGTGCATTGTCCCTATTCAAATAAATAAACAAAAAAATAAAAATAAAAAAACACAATTTGTTCTAAATTTTGTCCCTCTCTTCTTGTCCCTTTAATTGTTGTTTTCCTCTCTATGTTTTGTACTCAGCTGACTTTTCATGCTCAATTTAATTCAGTTCAGTTTATTTCTATAGCGCCAATTCCAAGCATGTCATCTCAAGTGGTTTTACAGTTCAACAAATCATCCAGTCAGATTGATTTTCTAAGGAAAACCAGCTGATTGCATCGACTCATCGACTCTTCAGCAATCCCTCACTAATTATGCATGTAGCGACAGTGGAGAGGAAAAACTCCCTTTGAACAGGAAGAAACCTCCAGCAGAACCAGGCTCAGTGTGAGCGGCCATCTGCTGAGGCCCACTGGGGTTCAAGGAGACAGAAGCAGACATAGAAAAAGAAGCATAGATACAAAAGGCAGCTGTCAACCAGCTCCACAGGCGGCCCCGTCCAGGAAACACACAGCCAGGCAGACGAGCTCCGAGCCAGCTCCCATGTCAGAGGATGAAGAGAGCACATCCAGTTAGTCACAGTCAGAGAAACAGGACTACACTGGAAAACAGGTCAAGCTCCAACATCTAGAAACAAAGGTGTTGATGGCATCAGCACAGCTGATATTTCTCTCCAGGATGGAGTCACAGCCAAACAGGAACAGACCAGATGAAGCTACTATGAGAAAAAGCAGAGAGAGCAGAACGTTAGAGATTCCTCAAAAGCAATCAGCTAAGCTCACTTAGCTGATTGCTCCTTCCTGTGTTTCCAAAAAGGCCAAAGTAAATAACCCAGTCCTTCTTTTCAGTGTAGACAAGCCATGATCTGCTTATCTGTTCTCCATTTTTCATTTGGATGAAATAATAGCTGCATGAATCATGACAGCAGACAAGATAGAGGAGAGCAGGAGGCGGGGTTACCAATCTACTCGCTCTGGAGAGCAGAGTTCGCTGCTTTTAGATGTTGTCTCCAAAGTCTCCAGTAGCAGAAAAAGTCTCTAGATTTGGCGCTAGGAGCTTTTTAGAAATCAAAGTGCTAGAGGGGTCTGAAAAGTGGCTAAATATAGCGACTAAAGCGCTAAGTTGGCAACACTGCTCTTTGCATGGTTTGTTTTCAAATGGTTTGCTGCTGTCTGTTTGGACCTTTCTGAACATGTGCAGCAAATGGACTGATCCAATATGGTGGACACTGAAGGGGGGGGGGGGGGGCTGAGACACACTTAATATTATCAGCGTTCTGATGGCATTTTAGCCAAAGGATTTTTATCAAAAACATAATGTGCACAAATAAGGAATAGTTGTATTAACCATACAAGGAAACAGTTTTATGAGGCCCCCAGGGACTTGGGGCCCTAGGGAACTGCTTATTATTGGCTAATGGTAAATCCCCCCCCTGGAGGGAAGCAAGTGAAGCTGAATAAATGAAGACATGTCAGTTTAGTTTTAGGCTGTGGGAATAAGCTCTCCTTGAGCGCTGCACCCACAGGTGATTCTTTGCTATTTTAGCAGCAGACAAAACTATTATTAAAAAAAAGTATACTTATCATATTTGATATATGAGTTTTTGAGATCTCTGCATCATCAGTGTGACATCTTTGTTCTTGAAAACCACGACTTACACAATCAGACAGCAGAAAACATACAAAATGTATGTTTTTTGTTAGAACGATAATTGAAAACTCTTATAATCTGCCAATCATTTCATGGTCCAGGCTTTAAAGGATTAAGAGTATGAATGCTAATGTGAGTCAGTTCACATGAACAAGATTAACATTCATATTTGTTTCTTGTTGTCAGCAGAAGAAGTTAAGATGTTTTGAATATAATTACAAAGTTACACATTTGCATCAATAATAGAAAGAAATCAATCCCTGATGAAGCCGTTACACTCCTTACTAAGTAATGCACCTGAATTTGCATTTAAAATAAAATGTAGGAAAAAAGACAGATGGGATAAAAACTGAGGATGAAGAAGTCTGAAACTATAAATGTTGGTTAAAAGTTATTCTGCACATCTTAGCAATGATATAATGTTTAACTGATGGTTTGTTTAAATGTTGCTCCTCTTCCTTTCATTTAACGTCAGTGAGCAAACAGCTGTCTGTTGCATCACTGCCACCTACTGGTCAGCAGTATAACAGCCTAGATCAGGGTTGTGCTGGTTGTTCGATCCTCTGTGGGGTGAATTTTGCTCCATTATTGTTGCAAAAAAGCTGTTTTGTAAATGTACATGTGAAAATACATGCAATGCAATAAAATATAATCTCAAAAGAAGTCAATTTGCCATCTTCCTTTTTTCCCTTTGGGATCCACGGCCCGAGACACACCTACCAATTTGTTTACAACAGCCACCTGCCTGGCACTGCGTCACGCTGAAACTTGTGTTGCACGATATGATACAAATCCTTCTTGTCAGAAATGTTTACATTTATTGTTCACTTTTTTGTTTATTATATTGATTTTTTTTCTACAACATTGGAAACATGGTATGTTTGTTTGACCTCCTGCACACTATATTAAAAGAAAGAAAAAGAAAATCCATCTTTTTCTACTGTCATACATTTTTGAAAAAGCTCCAGAGTTGCCGACCCCTGATCTATATAAAGTAATTATATAAACGCATAGATCTATATAATTATTAAAGAGAAAACCTCTGTGGGGGCCTCGGGGGGACCTTAAGTTAGCGTGGAGCCCTAAGCAGTGCCGTCTGCCTTGCTCCGGCCCTGCTAGTGGCCAAATTATTTTTTTTCATGGGTGATACGATGTTAAGGGTTGTGGTTTTGGATTCTGTCAGTAGCTGTCTGTGGTGCTTCGGGTCGGGGGAGTGTGACCAGAAGGAGGGAACACTTGAGGGCAATTAATCCATAACAGAGTGTTATTTTTATTTTGATGTATCAATGAAAGACGAGGCTCCATCAGGGCGAAGCACAGGCCCTCCATTAGAGGCGTATCCAGACCTCTGCTGCAGTTCAGATTCCCAAACGTTTCTAGACGTCACCCCAAAAATATTAATGTGACACACTGCTGACCCTGAAAAATACATATAATTACTTAACTCTACATTTATTCATACATATGAAGGGAATTTATTACATTCAATTTTAAATTGGTGAAGACTCCATTGGATCACCTTCAGTGTTCCTACCATCCTGGCATTGGGGAAGCTGATGCCATCTTATTCCTGCTGCACCAAACTCTGACTCATCCAGAGAAATCTGGAAGCTCTGTGAGGATCATGTTCTTTGATTTCTCCAGAGCTTCCAACACCATCCAGCCAGGCGTCCTAAGGTCCAACCTGGAGCTGTCAGGAGTGGACCAGCACATGTCCCCGTGGATTCTGGCCGCCCACAGTGTGTGAGGTCACAGGGCTGTGTCTCAGATAGGTTGGTCTGTTCCCTGTGGGACCCCCATACTGCAGACTCTATCAGCTCCCTGGTGCTGAACTGGACAGCTCCTTCAGTAACAGACTGCTGCACCTTAAATGCACCAGGGAGCGTTATCACAGATCCTTCCTCCCAGCAGCTGGAAGACTCTAGAACCACCACTGTTCCCAACAACCTCAATCAGTTTCTCCATTCATGCTGATTTTGCTCAGTTTCTACCTTAGTCAGTTAAAGTCAGCTCTGAAAGGGGGGGTCGTTAGAGGGAATGGTTGGCCTGGCTGAATAGGTGAGGTCTTCTGTTCTCCTGTAAAGGGGTTGGAGCTGCGATGATAGCGGGAAGGAATCTACTCTATTGCTGTATTGTAGGTTTTTGAAAGGCGAACAAATCATTTAAAACTCTATTAACACTATATAAGATATATATAATTATATGTAGTCTTATATATATATATATATATATATATATATATAGCCCACAGGCGTAAGTTTGTGAAGGACTTGTGTGGACCCAAAAATATCCACTCTTTTCCCCTTTCTGCGTTTTGAGTCTGTGATTTTCTTCCTCTCTCCTGCTGCTTCCATGTCCCGCCTCTCAGTGTGACATCATCAAATTTGTATCTTTGAGACATCTGATTTGCGATCACATTTCACTACTTCGACGTTTAAGTAAAAGTTGGGAGACAGGTTGGTTAAAAAAATCAGAGATGCCACCGAAAAATCTGTTCATTAGACACACGCAGAGATGAGAAGTAACGAAGTACAAATACTTCGTTACTGTACTCAAGTAGATTTTTCTGATATTTTTACTTTACTTTACTACTTATTTTTATGGCGACTTTTTACTTCTACTCCTCACATTTTTACACAAATATCTGTACTTTCTACTCCTTACATTTTAAAAAATTGGCTCGTTACTTTAGTTTTGAATCATTTCAATGGAGTTACCGTTATTATTTTTCACGTCATCAATACCAAATTCAATCTAATTGGATGGGAATCTACGTTGCATTTGACGCACCACTACAAGATGAATCGACAGATTCGGCGGTATTCATTGGCGGCAA